GTAAGACCTCAGTTCGTGAGCTATTTTGTTAGCAAATATATATTGTGTGAGACCTCAGTTCGTGGGTTATTTTGTTAGCAAATATATATTGTGTGAGACCTCCGTTCGTGAGTTATTTTGTTAGCAAATATATATTGTGTGAGACCTCAGTTCGTGGGTTATTTTGTAAGCAAATATATATTGTGTGAGACCTCAGTTCGTGGGTTATTTTGTTGGCAAATATATATTGTGTGAGACAAATATATATTGTGTGAGTTATTTTATATATATTGTGTGAGCAAATATATATATATGTGTGAGACCTATGTATTGTGTGAGACAGTTCGTGTGTGAGTTATTTTTTGTTAGCAAATATATAGTGTGTGAGACCTGAGTTAGCAAATATATATTGTGTGAGACCTTAGTTCGTGAGTTATTTTATTAGCAAATATATATTGTGTGAGACCTCAGTTCGTGGGTTATTTTGTTAGCAAATATATATTGTGTGAGACCTCAGTTCGTGAGTTATTTTGTTAGCAAATATATATTGTGTGAGACCTCAGTTCGTGGGTTATTTTATTAGCAAATATATATTGTGTGATACCTCAGTTCGTGAGTTATTTTATTAGCAAATGTATAGTGTGTGAGACCTCAGTTCGTGGGTTATTTTATTAGCAAATACATATTGTGTGAGACCTTAATTCGTGGGTTATTTTGTTAGCAAATATATATTGTGTGAGACCTCAGTTTGTGGGTTATTTTGTAAGCAAATATATATTGTGTGAGACCTCATTTCGTGAGTTATTTTGTTATTGTTAGTCTATTGTGGGATACCTCAGTTCGTGAAAAAAAGAGGAGGGGATGCTTTATATCATTCGACAATGAAAAAAATGATGCCGTCAGCTGTGTGAATTCTGTGTAAAAATGAAGAAACGTATGATTAGGGTCGCGTCTTCTGGCCTAGCCATACCAGAGTATATAAAGTTTCTTCTGCCAGCCTAACGCCCAGCATAGTGATTAAATATTCCCGCTTTCCGTCAGTATAGCGGAAATTATTTTGTCATTTACTACATCTCATCATTATCTTGTTCATACGTTCCGTGCGAGCGGGAACACGTATACGTACTATACCTTAAGTAGATTAAACATAAATGTCAAATGCACGAGAACGTGCAGACAGCGTTGTTGCATCCGTCATACTCCAGGGGTTACAATCACTTTCGATCTCTGCAACCCTCGAACATGTCATGGCAAAATTGAATTCACAAGCAAAGAAATTTGATTGGTTTCAGGAGAAAGAAATTGACCAATCTCATGTGATAAGCTATTTTGAAGATTACAAAGGAACGACACCAAACTTCAAAGTCATTACAATATACTGTTATGCGACCTCGAGATTCATTTGATCAACGAATCAAACAAGTCTTTTCGTCTTGTCAACATGGTGTCGCAGATGAAAGGTTTTGCCATGACATGTTCCAGGAATGTAGTAATCGTAACCCCTGGAGTGTAGAGGATGCACCGCATGGAGCTATACGGACAGAGATGTATGTTTTATTTAGCGGAATTATGTATCTCAGCAGAACCATTTTGTGGTAGCTGCAGGCATGTTTCAAGATGGTATTCATTCTATAATGTAACACGTAACCATGTGTGTCATGAGGCATAAACTGAAACTGTAGATGGACAGCATTAACAATGACAGATATAAGATCCATCGGTACATTTGTATAATACTAATTATATAGACGGACAGAGTTAATAATGAAATATTATCCATTGGTAAATTAGTAATTACTTATATTGATGGGCAAAATCAAGAGATATATGATACATATATAACACTAATTATATATATTTATTACATACTAGTTCTGTCCTTTCTAGTAACGTTATTAATTTTTGAATAAGGCGAGTCACTTTACTTAGCGGACTTGTATTACATATTGTGAAGATGCCTTTCATTTTAATATAATTTGGGTTAACATACTAATAGCTTGGTAAACAAATTTGTGGTAAAGCTTAATCACATTCGTTATTACAATTTTATAAATAGTGGAATTCATTATCAAAACATTTGTACACCCGGACATAACCTTTCCTCGCTGGGAACGTTATTAGTTTTTTCTCCTCTATATAGGAACATTTTGATTTGAAGTTCACATAAAAAGTCTTTAATTTCGATCAAGTTTCATTAGATAAGGATCAAAATTCATGTATGTGTGTGTGTGTGTGTGTGTGTGAGAGGGTGGGTGTGGGTGTGTGTGTGTGTGTGTGTGTGTGTGTGTGTGTGTGTGTGTGTGTGTGTGTGTGTGTTAGTGTTTGTGTTTGTGTGTGTGTGTGAGTGGGTGTGTGTGTGTGTGTGTGTGTGTGTGTGTGTGTGTGTGGTCATGTACAGTTTATTGAAGACATACCTGATATTTTACAAAGTAATCATAAAAAATAAATATACTATGAATTTAATATTAATTAAGCCACAATCTATGCTTTTGCCGGTCACGTGGCCAGGGACACCCGCACCACACATAATACCAATATGTCAACATGATCAAAACTCAAATTTAATCAAACAAGACCAAGAAACAAAGAAAGAAAATACAGACATGTAAACATGATCATAATCCAAACTCAAATTCAATAAAACTAGGAGAAAATATGAACAAAAGGAAGATTTACAGAGAGACTCCTGAAAACTACAGGGGAACAAGACCAGGTGTTCCGGAAGAGTAAGCGTCTTATGCTTACACTGAATTATCCATTTAATCTTTACAATGGTTTCGATGTTTATATGATTTAAATTAATAACGATTACATCTCTTTGGTGAATGCTGGAAAGGTTTTATTTCCCGATGGTTCAGATCATGAAAGCGGGCGTATCACTATATAGAAATGGTAAAATTGATCGATATTTTATCGTATAATCTACAATCGTAATCACCCTGATACATCATCGATACTCATAGTTTACGATCACTTTCGCTCTCTGTAACTCTGACGCATGTCATGGCAAAATTGAAGGCACATCCAAAGTAATCTGATTGGTCACGGGAGAAAGAAACTGACCGATCACAGACCGTTATGTGACCCCGAAATTTGTTTGATGAACATGGAAAGAGGAAAGATTAAACTAGACTTTCCGTCTTGACCACAAGATGTCGCACAGGGAACATTCACTTCTGCTATGACATGTTCCTGGAGTGCGAAAGTGATCGTAACCCCTGGAGTATCCAAGATGATCCGATAATTCCTTCCCGCTAAACGGAATGCTTAAGTTCGGATTGACATAACACAAACCTGGGGACTGAAACATACATATGTTTTTTATAGATGTGACTTTACTATCTACCCAACATATAAATTATGTCCACCTTACCATGCCATAAAATATCAGTTCTCAAGGCATAGGTAAATCAAGACATGGAATTTGATGTGTGAATGTCCGATATCTATCCCACTTAAAAAGATACAGATGTATATTTCATAATATCATTTCAGAAGACATGTGTATATACACATTTCATCCTCATTAATGACCCAGCATATAGTTTTATTTATTTAAATTATGGAAGCCTTTCAATGATAAACATTTCCTCTCCGATAAAAGTAGGTTACATGTACATGTTTGGTTCTAGAATTTAATGAAACACAATGTATTCTCTGCCGTCAAATTAATTGAAATACAATGTTTTCTCTGGCGTCAAATTTAATGAAACACAATGTATTCTTTGCCGTCAAATTTAATGAAACAATGTATTCTCTGGCGTCAAATTTAATGAAACACAATGTATTCTTTGCCGTCAAATTTAATGAAACAATGTATTCTCTGGCGTCAAATTTAATGAAACAATGTATTCTCTGGCGTCAAATTTAATGAAACACAATGTATTCTTTGCCGTCAAATTTAATGAAACAATGTATTCTCTGGCGTCAAATTTAATGAAACAATGTATTCTCTGGCGTCAAATTTAATGAAACAATGTATTCTCTGGCGTCAAATTTAATGAAACACAATGTATTCTTTGCCGTCAAATTTAATGAAACAATGTATTCTCTGGCGTCAAATTTAATGAAACAATGTATTCTCTGGCGTTAAATTTAATGAAACAATGTATTCGCTGCCATCAAACTTGATAAAACACAATGTATTCTCTGCTGTCAAATCAGTTGCAATTTCTCCATGAAAAACACGTCACATTCTATTTAGATAGTAATTAAAAAGGAGAGCTTATGAAGTGAAAATGACGTCATACTTTCCATATTGATGAGACTGGACGAGTGTGCCGTTTGTTCATTACACACAATACAATATTTTGCTCATTTTCTATACTTCAGGAATTACAAACACTTTCGCTCCCCACACCTCTTGAACATATCATGACAAAAACTGAAGGCACAAACAAAGTAAATTGATTGGTTCCAGGAATATATAACTGACCAATCACAGGCTGATAAGCTCCTTTTAGGGATTACAAAGGAGCGACACCCAAGTTCAAAGTCATTGCGATATACCTTCATGCGACCTCGAGATTCGTTTGATGAAAGGATCAAACGAGTCTTCACGTCTTGTCAATAAGGTGTCGCAAATTGAAACTTCAATTTTGCTTTGAGAGAACGAAAGTGATCGTAACCCCTGCAGTATCCAGGATGGCCCTAATCAATATCAATGTATTGGTAAGAAAATAAGTTGTAACCATCATAAAATGAACGTATTCATCTGTGTAAACGTGTTTCAAAGTGTCCCTTAGCTTTAATTTGTTAATATTACTCTACACTTTAAGCTCCCATAGATAAGAAATGATTGTATATCGACATCCCGTTATCACTGATAACTACAATAAACACTTGACGTCACACATCATCCAATTATTCTGTAAGTAACGATAACATTGTCTGACTACATGACTGAAGCGTGATGTTTTATCGCGTTTATATAAGAGTACAACAGACATTAAGTGATTCTTTTAGAACGTGAAATACACAAGAGCTCTCACTCTTTATAATCGCCGGGATTTCAATTCAAAATGGCCGACTCTTTAATAATTCGACTTGCGGTATTTGTGCTTTGTATTTTATGTGGATGTGTCGATTGTGAATTTGAAAACAATGTTCTGAGATCAGCAGCGTTAAGAGTCAATAAAGATAGGATTTCAGTAAGTAAACAATCCTTACGTGAGAACGTACCCGAAGATTTCCACACTCTGACAGACTTAAGAAGATGGACCAGTTCTGAGAAAGGAAATCTTGGAGCTAGTATAGGATTCTACAACGTATCTGATAGCTGTTTTAATCACACTCAGCTTCTTGTAAACGGGATAGCAAACGGACATGAATGGGCTCTGTTATGTAAGTAGTTTTTACGAGTATACAGTAAGTCATTCCAAAACATAACCATATATAGATTTGATAGCTAAGAACACTCTCGGAACGAACTAAAGAGTTTGCGTTTTCAGTCCACATGTATCAAAAAATACTAGGTTAAGCATTTAAGCAATATTTTCGAAACTCGCCATTTCTTTTTTAAATTTTAGTTCATCAGAGGTTCCATAACAAGGGTCAAATTGATTTATCAATCTCCTGTAAAAAGAACAATGTTTAAAGATCATACGTTTACATTTTAACAAAATTGTATACACAACCTGATTACAAAGCCCGCCAAACCTTGGTTACGAAATGGCGATATTGTCGATGAACTATTATTGAAAATATCAATATTAAATTTACTGGTGTTCTCTATAAATAAGTTCTTGATGCATTCGGGAAAATACCGCCCGGATTTCTGGACGGCAATCTCTTCTTTCTTGGATCCTACGACGAATGCTTAGAGATCAGGTATGACAACTCTACAGACCCAGGGAATATTTTCAGAGGACAGCATTGTACAGCCCGAATCCTGGTGGGAGCATCAGAGGTTGTAAGTATATTTTTAATTCTTAAATATGTATTCAGTCATGTACTTGTATACCTGTATCATTTATATGGAAAATATTTCAGTATTGCACTTCCTTGGAGACAGAATGATATTAAGCGGAGTAGGCCCTCTGGCTGCAGTATAGGTCATACTTACAATGGTAATAGTGAGAGATAGAATGATATTAACTGGAGGAAGCCATATGGTTGCAGTAAATGTCATAATTATAATGGTAATAGTTAACGATAAGTATGATATTAACAGGAGTAAGGCCTTTGGTTGCACTATAGGTCATAATGACATGGTAATAGTTGGAGATAAGATGATATTAACAGGAGTAGGCCTCTGGTTGCTGTATAGGTTTTAATCACAATGGTAATAGTTAGAGACCGGTTGATATTAACAGGAGTAAGCCCTTTGTTGTTCATCGTTAAACGAATTGGATGTTTACTTCACATTAATAAATCACATAACTTACATATTTCTATATGAACATGTTTTGTTCTTTCACTTTTTCAGTCATCGATGATGAGTTTTCCGGGCATTACTTTAGGTGTATGTTTTCCTAGTACATGTTCTGCGTATGACGTAATGGCATATATAAACACAGGTAATGTCTTCGTAGTAGGTATCTCAAATGTTATCATAAAAATAACAACACTTCTTTTGAAACAATAGTGTTTCATGATACTGATCCGTAGCACAGCTATGAACTAGGATTAACTTCACGGCGTTCTTTTCACTGGCAATAGACCTGAACATCTAAAATTATTACTTACTATGTAAGTATTTCTTCAAGTGAAATAACAAGTGTCATTGCGACGGTGCTGGAATTAGTTGTGTTATATACTCTTGTGTCTTTGCAAGAGACTCGGTATAAAGCTGCCTTTTTTCAATAAATTTTGAGTATACATTTTGTTTATATTTCTGTGTATCTATTTTTTATTTGAATTCCATATACATTTAAGTTCTGTTGCCAAGGATACCGGGAACATAAATTCAATCATCCACGTATTCATCAAAATGTATATAATCTGGGTTTCAAAATAAAGACATTTTCTCTAATATTTGTTCTGTAACATCGAGAATCCAATATCGTTTTAGGACTGGCATCGATATCGACCGGAAACGGAAGTCGGCCATTGTTTGCCTTCATTGAAGACTGTCACGTGGAGGGAGAAACTTTTGATTACGATGCTAAAGCCATCGGCGCGTTGTAAGTTTGCCATTGTAAAAATGTTATTTTGATGTTGCTGATGATGCTGTTCAAACTGTTTTTGTTTCTGTTATGATCGTTGGCGGTATGAGTTACATTTTAAGATTTTTTTTATCAATATGTTACTTAAGTTTTGCGATTGATAAACATGATTTTGCAATGCCTCAGTTTTACTCGCTTAATATATTTCTTTTCTAGTATCTTGATTGATTGACATATTTAGCCAGTGCCATTACTGATTAACCTATTTTCCAGTGTCCTGATTGTTGGACCTATTTTCAAGTGTCTTAATTATTTGACCTATTTTCCAGTGTCCTGATTGTTTGACCTATTTTCCAGTATTCTGATCGGTTTTATCATGCTACTGATGCTGATTGGTACTACCTATGACGCTGTGGTGTATCATTGGGGACCATGGTCACGTGCTACCCTTGTTGATTATCCCTTGACACCTGAACGAACACTTTCGGAGAAGACACCGCTAGTAGGAGACACCAAACCGTCCTATAGTTACGTTGGACAACCAGGTTAGTAATGTTATTTTATTAACAGTTGTCTATAAAAGCCATCAAACGGACATTACCTAAGAACTGCATATATATACATATAAAGAATGACTATTAAGCATCCTAGTACACATTTCAACATGTTATGACAAACCTTGATTTCCAATTTGATTTCTATTAGTTATATTTTTACGAAGGCTTGACATCATGCGTTAGATAAATATGCGAGTGCTCTTATTTTTCAACGATCAAAAGGTTTCGTGCATGAGTAGGGGTTATCTCCCTTACTTTGTTCCATATACAAGCACGATGATAATTAAAAGAAATATTTTACAACACATCATACGATACATTTTAAGGGACATATTTACTAATAAATATACGCTGGTAATACTGGTTTCGTATACAAGCAAACTGCTGGTTTACTGAAGATCATCTCAAGAAATTTATAGTTAAAACGAAAACAATATTTTAAATTGTTTTATCTAGACACATTTAATAGAAATGTATAATTAGCGACAGTCATTTCAATACATCCGGTCTAACAAGAGTGATTAGTATAAGTTGGAATAACTTGTTTCGCAATTGTTTTAAAATAAATAAAGTTTATTTCATATTAATACAACTTTTAGTCCTTCTAGAACTCGTCAGTAATGTTACATCATACATCTGTTTCGTCATTCAAGGACGCATCAGTGATGTTACATCATACAATTTCTTCATTCTTCCAGGAACCTGATATTTTAAAAATAATGACACGTACGTACGTACGTACTTACATACCTACATACATACACACGTACGTACGTACACACACACACACACACACACACACACGCACACGCACACGCACACACACACACACGCACGCACGCACGCACGCACGCACACACACACACACACACACACACACACACATACATACACACATACATACACACACACACACATACATACATACATACATACATACATACATACATACATACATACATACATACATACATACATACATTCCAAACCGTGCCACTATTCGTATGGATGAAATCATGGCATACAGGTCACGGCAGACAACGCCGGACGTTCAATACCATTTTATTTGTATATTTAATATGTGCATTTTTTCTGGAAACTGTTCGTGCAAATAGTAAGCTAAACGCAGCAATTAGAACACAAAGTACGAACTAATTTAAACAAATATGGTCCCACTTGTGAAGGATGTCGTCAATGAAGTAGAAGACGCTTACTATTCCAGAACACATGGTCTTACTTTCATTGTACTTTTCATGAGTCTCCGTTTTAATTTTTAATTTGTTCATCTTTTGCCCTTATTTCGTCGGATATGATTTTGAATCAATACTACTTTGCCATGTTGTTATTGTCGTTGTTGTTCGCCTTATAACATTTATTGTGTACACTTTCTTCAAAATGTATCCTAACACCGCTAATTTTGATACCAAATGTGTAAGTTAATTGAATGTGAACATGTGTCTCGTTTCGCAAGTCTCGATTTTTCTACTACCAACTAGTTCGGAATTATAACATATCTAGGAATCAGCAGTATTTATCATTTAGCATAAACCGAATCTAACTTCATAACGTGTTTCGTTTATATGGTGATGCGTGAAGAGTTTGTAGCCTTTGTTGGAGGTATTTCAGGCCTTATTTGGGACAACAATTTGTGTCCATTGTGTGCGATACAAAAGAGCGCTAGATAACACAACCTGTTTAGCCAGAATCGGATCAAAACTAGAAATAAATTATTAGAACTTAACACATTTATCACTTGTAAATTCCTCACATCTGAGTATGAATTAGTGTTGACTTGATGTCGGTTTCGAGTGATCAGACCATGATTTCATGCTATTATTAGTTGTCAAAGGTTTAGGGGTAATAATGACGTTATTCCAAACCATTGATATAAATAATTGGACCAATCAGATTCCACTTTGCAAAGAAATGTCGCGACCCGGACATTATAACTTTTTATATCTTTTTTCCAACAATGATACTATATACTAAACTCACAGAAAGTACGCGATTTGGATATTCATTATAAAAGATATTCTGTAATTTTTTTTTCCTGAATTATGTTTTTTTTTCTACAGGTATTCTAGGCCGACTTCTTTTAAGTTTCTCTGTCCTCTCAAACAGTGAAAAGCTCCTTAGTACAACACAGGCACCGGGTTCCCTGACAGCAATCAACGGCATCCGGGTTCTCAGCATGTTCTGGGTCATTCTGGGTCACTCATACGTTTTCCCGCAAGGAATTACAAGTAAGAATGTGATATAACATCTAAGGTTAGAAACATTTAAACGGGTATGAGATATTATCATTTCGGTAAAAAATTTAGAAACTCCTATTTCAATTCATTATATGTTTCTTCTGCATGTAAACATTTCGTCTATAAGAACATTTGATTTTTTCCACTGTGTACACAACCATACCCCATTCTAAAATGAAAAAAAAAAAAAAAAAAATGGAAGTTTATGGTCGTCATCGTGATCTCATTCAGAAACAATATATTTTTTGTGTGATATGAAACTGGGCGTGATTGAAGCTCGTTAGTTTACCTGTTGGTTTTGTTGTTGTATACCTTGTTCTTATTTGAGAACGTGACATTACTTACTTGGATTGACCAAGATTTATATGGCTGGTGTTAGCGACGAAGCAGAAGATGCGTGCTCTGCCGAACACCTGGTCTTATTCTCCTTGTACTTTTTCAGGAGAAGCCGTGTAAACCTTTCTTTTGTTCATGTTTCGCCCTAGTTGTATTGAATTTGAGTTTGAATTATGATTCTGTTGACATGTTGGTATTTTCTTGTTGTTTTTTTTTTCGAGATTAATACGAAATATATCAGCATTTGCCGTAGGAGGTTCATTCATCGTGATTCAGTATGATAAGAACAGAAAAAAAATTATATATCAATCTTTTATTTACAGATAATTATGGAAAGTTTGTAACAAAGATGGCAGATCGACTTTCGTTTCAAGCGATTATGAATGCCCTTGTATCAGTGGATACATTTTTTGCACTGAGGTGGGTTTTGGTAGCTGTGTCGTAGAATACCTCCATGTTACAAGCCAGATGTTCTGTTTATATACTTGTGCGCAAATACGGTTTATCTAATTTTGGAAATCACTTTGTGATAAATGTGGTAAACGACATACATCAATGAATAATAAAAATAAGATTCCCAGTGAAACAACCCGTTATCATATATTATGTACATGTAGTGACGTAACACACAAGTAGAACGTACCTGTAGCTGTTATTGAGATGCTATCCCACTCGATTTACATCGAGCGCGGGTGTTCATTATAATCCCTTTTTCAAGTTAACAACAAACTCTCTGACCACCAATTCAGCAGTACATCAACCTTTCGTTTCTTTCCTCAGTTCGTAATATCGATCAACTTATGGTTACAAGGTCGTCCAAATTGGCGTTGCTGTCGTGCAGATAATGTGCAGACAAGTTATGCATAAAGTGCACAAGGTTTACAAACAATGCATACGTTGTGCGTTGGTGAATTATGCGAAGCAAAAAATGCCTTCTTAAAATATTTCATATAAACATTCAATCGGTTTTATAGCAAATCTGTTTTAGTTGTGTTGAATATTTACGTATGTCCTGGAATGCGTCTGATATGATTTTTTTTTAATTTTCTGTTCAGGAAACTCCAGTATCACGTTTAAAAACGATAGTTTAATACATATATATTGAAAATTCCAGTGGGCTTCTACTTTCTTACCTAACACTCAGAGAAATGAAGAAGAACAACGGGAAGATAAACTGGGCGATGTTCTATTTCCATAGATTTTGGAGGTAAGTTTTTTTATAATGAAAATCAAAGTCTCGCATTGTCTCTGACGAGAAGCGAGATTGTAGGGGTACACTGAACAAAGTCTTTTGTATGTTTGATTGTTTTATGGCTGCAAGGCTGAACCTTATTACGCCGTTACTTGAAATGTATTCGCCTACACACAATAACATGTTTGCCAGTAGTTAAATCAGTATGATACCCACTCCCCAGATAGGCCATAACAAGGTATATTCATGTAAAACAATGATAAAACACTGTGCTTCCTATTGCACCGTTGACCTTTTTTCAAAACTCTCAATTTAATTCTACATTTTCGTGATATGCTTTGTATCAACTTATTTTCAAAAATGGGTATTTACGTGATTTGTTATTCTTCTACGAAAATTCAAATCAGTTTCAATCAATTTTTTTCTCTAAATTAATGTGAAAACGACAGACGGAGGTCAGAATGATACTTAGAATTTCTCTAATAAATTATATACTCTTTGCTCACACGATGTTCCTGTAGATATATGTTTCGGTCCCTCTGACATATGTTGGTCCTATAGACATATGATTTAGTCCTAGAGACATATGATTTAGTCCTATAGACATATTATTTAGTCCTATAGACATATTATTTAGTCCTATAGACATATGATTTAGTCCTATAGACATACGATTTGGTCCTATGGTTTAGTCATATAGACATATGATTTGGTTCCATAGACGTATGATTTAGTCCTATAGACATAGGATTTAGTCCTATAGACATATAATTTAGTCCTATAGACATATGATTTGGTCCTATAGACATATGATTTGATTCCATAGACGTATGATTTAGTCCTATAGACATAGGATTTAGTCCTATAGACATATGATTTAGTCCTATAGACATATGATTTCGTCCTATAGACATATGATTTAGTCCTATATACATATGATTTAGTCCTATAGACATATGATTTCGTCCTATAGACATATTATTTGGTCCTATAGACATATGATTTGGTCCTATAGACATATGATTTGGTTCCATAGACATATGATTTGGTCCTATAGACATATGATTTAGTCCTATAGACATATGATTTGGTTCCATAGTCCTATAGACATATGATTTAGTCCTATAGACATATGATTTGGTCCTATAGACATATGATTTAGTCCTATAGATATATGATTTCGTCCTATAGACATATTATTTAGTCCTATAGACATATGATTTAGTCCTATAGACATATGATTTGGTCCTATGGTTTAGTCCTATAGACATATGATTTAGTCCTATAGACATTTGATTTGGTCCTATGGTTTAGTCCTATAGACATATGATTTAGTCCTATAGACATATGATTTGGTCCTATAGACATATGATTTGGTCCTATAGACATATGATTTGGTTCCATAGACATATGATTTGGTCCTATAGACATATGATTTAGTGCTATAGACATATGATTTGGTCCTATAGACATATGATTTAGTCCTATAGATATATGATTTCGTCCTATAAACATATTATTTAGTCCTATAGACATATGGTTTAGTCCTATAGACATATGATTTGGTCCTATGATTTAGTCCTATAGACATATGATTTAGTCCTATAGACATATGATTTGGTCCTATGGTTTAGTCCTATAGACATATGATTTGGTCCTATGATTTAGTCCTATAGACATATGATTTGGTCCTATAGACATATGATTTGGTCCTATGGTTTAGTCCTATAGACATATGATTTGGTCCTATAGACATATGATTTGGTTTCATAGACGTATGATTTAGTCCTATAGACATATGATTTGGTCCTATGGTTTAGTCCTATAGACATATGATTTAGTCCTATAGACATATGATTTAGTCCTATAGACATAGGATTTGGTCCTATAGACATATGATTTCGTCCTATAGACATATGATTTGGTTCCATAGACATATGATTTAGTCCCATAGACATATGATTTAGTCCTATAGACATATGATTTAGTCCTATAGACATATGATTTAGTCCTATAGACATATGATTTCGTCCTATAGACATATTATTTAGTCCTATAGACATATGATTTAGTCCTATAGACATATGATTTGGTCCTATGGTTTAGTCCTATAGACATATGATTTAGTCCTATAGACATATGATTTGGTCCTATGGTTTAGTCCTATAGACATATGATTTAGTCCTATAGACATATGATTTGGTCCTATAGACATATGATTTGGCCCTATAGACATATGATTTGGTCCTATAGACATATGATTTAGTCCTATAGACATATGATTTAGTCCTATTGACATATGATTTGGTCCTATAGACATATGATTAAGTCCTATAGACATATGATTTGGTTCCATAGACATATGATTTGGTCCTATAGACATATGATTTAGTCCTATTGACATATGATTTAGTCCTATAGACATATGATTTAGTCCTATTGACATATGATTTGGCCCTATAGACATATGATTTGGTCCTATAGACATATGATTTGGTTCCATAGACATATGATTTAGTCCTATTGACATATGATTTGGCCCTATAGACATATGATTTGGTCCTATAGACATATGATTTGGTTCCATAGACATATGATTTGGTTCAATAGACATATGATTTAGTCCTATAGACATATGATTTGGTCCTATAGACATATGATTTGGTTCCATAGATATATGATTTGGTTCAATAGACATATGATTTGGTCCTATAGACATATAATTTGGTCCTATAGACATATGATTTGGTCCTATGATTTAGTCCCATAGACATATGATTTGGTCCTATAGACATATAATTTGGTCCTATAGACATATGATTTGGTCCTATAGACATATAATTTAGTCCTATAGACATATGATTTGGTCCTATAGACATATGATTTGGTTCAATAGACATATGATTTGGTCCTATAGACATATGATTTAGTCCTATAGACATATGATTTGGTTCCATAGACATATGATTTGGTTCAATAGACATATGATTTGGTTCAATAGACATATGATTTGGTCCTATAGACATATGATTTGGTTCCATAGACATATGATTTGGTTCAATAGACATATGATTTGGTTCAATAGACATATGATTTGGTCCTATAGACATATAATTTGGTCCTATAGACATATGATTTGGTTCCATAGACATATGATTTGGTTCAATAGACATATGATTTGGTTCAATAGACATATGATTTGGTCCTATAGACATATAATTTGGTCCTATAGACATATGATTTGGTCCTATGATTTAGTCCTATAGACATATGATTTGGTTCCATAGACATATGATTTAGTCCCATAGACATATGATTTGGTCCTATAGACATATGATTTGGTCCTATAGACATATAATTTAGTCCTATAGACATATGATTTTGGTCCTATAGACATATGATTTGGTCCTATAGACATATGATTTGGTTCAATAGACATATGATTTGGTCCTATAGACATATGATTTCGTCCTATAGACATATGATTTGGTCCTATAGACATATGATTTAGTCCTATAGACATGTGATTTGGTCTTATAGACATATAATTTGGTCCTATAGACACATGATTTGGTCCTATAGACATATGATTTGGTCTTATAGACACATGATTTAGTCCTATAGACACATGATTTAGTCCTATAGACATATATTAACCTTATATACGTACGATTTAGTCCTATGGACATCTGATTTGGTCCTATAGACATATAATTTGGTCCTATAGACATATGATTTAGTCCTATAGATATATAGTTTGGTCCTATAGACATATGATTTAGTCCTATAGACATATGATTTAGTCCTTTAGACACATGATTTAGTCCTATAGACATATATTAACCTTATATACGTACGATTTAGTCCTATGGACATCTGATTTCGCCCTATAGACATAATAATCGATCTTATAGAAACAGAGTTGGTCCAATATAAAATTTGTTAAACCTATTGCAGACTCACTCCTGCGTACATGTTAGTGTTGATGGTAAATGCCTGTTTGTCCCGATACTGGGGTGATGGGCCGTTTTGGCCGAAGGATGGCTTTGAACGGAACTACTGCGAAGATTCTTGGTGGAAAAACCTGCTATATATTAATAATTTTTTCGACAGCTCAGATATGGTAAGTTTTTGAAATAATGATCCGCACTGATGAAAAACTCCCATGACATGAAGTTAATATCATAGTCATTGACTATCTAATGACACAAGTGGTAAAAGCATTCTGCTGAGTAGTAACCCGGATGGATTCTCGAGGAATTCCAATTGTAAGATTCTCATTTCCAATCAAATATGTCGGATGGTTTTCATTTTAAAGAAGAAGAAGATAACGACATGTGCAGGTGCTAAAAACGAGACATGCTTTATTCTAACAGTGCTATATTGTTGGTGGTAGAAACTGAGTCACTGAAAACTGCCGTAACATTAATGTAATATTCGTAAATAGATTTGGTATAACTATGTTTCTCCTCGATAATATATCAAAATGATCCTTATATATAAATATTTGTTTTCTAACAGTGCTTATCTTGGTCATGGTACCTGACTAATGATATGCAGTTCTTTGTCCTGAGCCCTCTGATGCTAATTCCGTTATACTTGTGAGTACGAAACATCAAAAATCAATTCACCTGTTGGTTTTAGTTTTCAATATTCATATCATGTAAATGCACGATGAATTAAAACTGTTGCTAATTGTATTTTTCCCGGTAGTATGTTCAATATATTCTACATTCAACTCACTACTTTGTTATTAACCCAACAGAACTCATCAAAACCAATCTATTGTTACCTAGATACACATACTTCATCAGTAACTCACTTATACTACCTAGATACACAGACTTCATCAGTAACTCACTTATACTACCTAGATACACAGACGTCATCAGTACTGTACTAATAAGTAATCTTCTTTGCTGATTCTAATATAAGAAGAAAAAATAGTATTCAAATGATGTGTGAAGATTTAAAATTTGCTGTTGTTTGTTGTTTACTCCAGTCAGCATATCATGAAATTATGACACTTTAAATACTTTAACGACTTGATGAAAGAAAAACAAAAAGCAGATGCTGCGTGTAGGAGAGATTTCCTGGGAAACAACATCAATCAGCAAATTTACGCGTCATACTGAATGAATTGTTGAATTATCATATTTTCATAATATCGTGGATAAAAATACGAAACTAACCTCAAAAGCTCTTGCTATTATTCCAGATCCCAATACATTGGGTTGGCAGTGTGCATTATTTTTCTATTGGGTACCATGACAGCTACAGGTATTATCAGTACCACTGAAGATTTACCTGTGACGATTTTCTCCCCGAACTCAGACCCAGCGTAAGTTTCACAATGTTGTGTCCTCTTCTTTTCTTTGTCATTAAATGCAATAAATATTGACTTACATTTAAGGATTGTAACGCGCACCAAGTTAAATATGTATTTACCCCAATGTAAATACAATTCGATGCAGCTACAGAAAATAAGAAACAATCCTTATATTTACACTTTGACGTTAATTTTTTTAAAATTACCTTATACACATTGTTCGAGCAGCCTCCCCCTTTATAGAACAGACAAGTAAATCCAAAAACACTAGGTGGCGCTGCCGTTGACATGTACAGTAAACAAAATAGTTCTCAAAGATAATATAATATGAATCAAAATGTTTTATAATATTTATTTAAATATTTAGACATCTTCTTTTAGTTTTAAGAATCAATAGTTCATCATTTACACAATATTCCTCTATCATAGTACACAAATACATTATTTAACACCGCGTAGGTTTATATCTATAAATACGTGAAACCAGATGCAGCTGATCGGAGAGAGCCTGGGAAAACGATTAACATGACACGCCATTTTTTCCACGTTGATAATGCTAGTGCGTTTGTTGAATGTATCGTATTTTCAAAAAGGATGAGTTAGATAGAAACCCTGATGACATCTGACTGAAAGGCTGCAGCAGAATAATTCATACTGAGGTTAGGTTGTGTATTTTCTTTCTTTTCCGCACCATAAACTATAATCTCGTTTTATAGCGTACCAACTTGGACAAGTAGTTTATTTTGATATCTATGCGCAAGCCTAATCACCGTACGTAAATATCAAAATTATTAACATTGGGTTTCTTTTGTCTTTAGAATGCAGCGCAAGTGTAAATATTCATATATGAACGTAAAAGACATTTATATAATTCTTGTACCAAATATTGTCAAATATAAGTTTAAACAGACAAATGTGTTGTACCCAGCCATTATTGTTTCGCCTGCAGAGCTTAAGGACCACTTTGTCCGTCGTCACGCGTCGGCTGGACTTTTTACGCTTATGCTTTGAGTTATCAAAGTGAAATTTAGTATATGGCTTCTTGTTGGAAGGGTACAGATCATGTTTGATTCCTGGCTGTCTGTAACCCTTCTTGGCAGAGTAATGCCCCTTTGAACTAGAAAATTCTCTGGGAATATTGTTTTCTGGACTTTCTTTGGTATGCTTTGAGTTATAGAAATGAAATTCGATATATGGCTTCTTGTTGGAAGGGTACAGATTAGTTCTGATATCCAGTTCGATTTCTGGGTGACCGTGACACTTTATGCAGGCGACACATACAGTTCTGAGGAACTCCAGTTATCATTTCCGTTTACGTTTGACAATCGATAAATTAAGTTATTGATTTCCTTGGAACTTCTCAACAGCCGTATGATAGAGTTCATGGTGCTATTGTATCTAATTCTCAACTTGTATTTCTGTTGATTTTCTGTTTGTACAATGAGTTATCTTTCTTTGTTATTCCTAAACTCAACATATGATGTGCAACTTGTTTGTAATATTTTGCTAGTCTTAAACTCGAGATAAAATTTGCTGGTTTATTGTAAACATGTACTTTGTAATTTCTAAACTCTAGATATAATGTGATTGTTTATTGTAACACGTAATTCCTAAACTCGAGATATAATGTGCTGATTCGTACTCAAAAACTCGTAATATAGTAAGATGTAATGCGTTTGTTTATTATAATACTTTGCAATTCCTAAACTTGAGAGATAATGTTTTTTTTATATTTTTTTGTCGGATTCATAATGTTTGGAAACTACGACTGAATATTTGCATTTAAGCTTTGATTGGATTTGTTTTAGTTCCATGCTTGTTTGATAATAATATAATAGTCCTTTTTTCATCATTGAGTGACAGCGACCCACACCAGGTGAATGTAAACAGATCTTTCATTCATTCATACATAAAGGAAGTTCCAATAGACTCGTCGCAAGGTGGCGTGTAGCCATTGATTCCTCCATCATTATCAAAAGGGCAGAGCTTAATAAAAAGGAAAAAGACGAATCAGAAAGCTGCATTTCCCTTACAAACAAGGAAAACTTGATAATATACAAACGTGTAGTAATATTCACGTTATTTTGTTAAGATGTGTTTGATTTTTTCTGCTCTTTCGTAACATTACAATTAACTTACTCTTACAGGATGTTTACGTCGTATTTCGAGCATTATTACATGAAACCGTATTGCCGAATGGGCCCATACATAGTAGGAATAATAACAGGATATCTTCTGTACAGGACAGAAGGGAAATACAGAATTAACAGAGTGAGTATTTGATGAACACGTAAACGAACGCTATTGAAGATTAAATATGAAACAAATGCAGGAGTCCTACCAGGATGAGTCAACTGTATGGTGCAGTTGAATTAATCATTTCGATCTTCTTGTCTAGGTAAAGATTTTTGGTTTCACTCGTGTATCTTTCGTACAAATAATGATAAATTGAATCCCCCACCACCACCACCACCACACTTTATGTGCAAGTATTGATATATGTAGTATATTTGTCATTAATATTTATATTTCAGGCGGTAAATTTGATGTGTTGGGTCATTGCCGCTGCTCTTGCTTGTTTTTGCCTCTATGGTGTGTATGAAGAAAACAGGGGAACTAAAGAATTAAGTACAGAGGTCCGATCTCTTTACAACACTCTTCATAGGAGCATTTGGGGTGCTTGCGTATGCTGGGTCATATTCTCATGTGCAAATGGATATGGAGGTAAGGGTTTTAAAGATGAAGTTGTGTACTATCTACCATCATGAGAACATGGGACAAACGAACGATGAAATCTTGTTCTTCAACTTATTGTCGCAGAAAAAAACATGGTATGGTATATAGATTAGAGATGTCATAATTGCACGTTTTTGTAAGGCCAAATAAAAAAACTTTCTGTTTCCGGTAACCCTATCTACCCTAATATTTCGTGCCTACCCTAAAATGTTTAAAACAATTTTCAAAGAAGCTGTGTTCAAGTCTCTCTTATTTAAACCATATTGAAATATTCGTTAATATATGTTTTTGCCTAACTATATACCCCAAATCTTTCCAACATCTTACAAGAAACGCAAATTTATTTCTGTCTGACCTAAACATTGTATGCGCGAATAATGATATGAGCTTACTTAAAGAATCAACATTAGTAATCGTGAATAATATTTATGCGTAAGTATGTTTTGTAAAAGAAAGATATCAGAAAAAGACATTAATACTTGAAGATCGACGACAGGACATTATTTTAGCGAACATTAAGCGCCATAATTCTTTTGTAGGGTTTGTGAACCAGTTGCTATCGTGGAAGGCGTTTTTGCCGCTTGGTCGGCTGACATACTGCGCTTACCTTGTGCATCCTATTGTGTTGTATAGTATTATATACAACCGCCGTTTCGCACTATACATGGACGACACCACGATGGTAAGACAAAATGTACTTTAAAACATATGTTTAAATGTACGAAACTAAAGTATATAAAAAGATACAGGATTCCTGACCCAATGGGAAAATGAAGTTAACAAAGCTTCTATGAAAAGAATAATAGTTGGTTTCGTGAGGATCCGATATATAGTGACAGCACGCAGACTGTATGTTGTACAATTAATGGTACAGAAATAAAACAACTTTGCACTTTCATATGTTCTCAAATATCATAAGAGTTACCTGTTATGGTGTCTGTTTTTCACTTCTTTGTATTTGTAGGTCTTCCTGTTCCTTGCAACTTTACTAGCATCCTACTCAGTTGCTTTTGTTGTGTCCCTCGCATTCGAGTCGCCTATGATGGGATTGGAAAAAGTCGTATTTAACAGAAATCGACGATCCTGAAGTTGTTTAAAGCAAGGAAAGATACGTTGTATGATGCGTTTATAAAGAATTCACTTTCTGTGATGATTTTAAGCTAATTTTCCTGAAATGTACCAAGAGAAGAAACTTTTTATCATACCCTATATGCTGCAGTAATGATATTACATATTGGGAAAACGCCAATGTAACATTTGTATATAAGATATCTTGACAGTCAAACTTGACAAGATAGATTAAGTGAGGCACTATGAACATCATATATAAAAATTATTTACTTGTGTTCAATTGAGACATTATGGATTAATTCTCAGTTCTGGAATATATTCCTATATGTTACCAACAGAAAACTGCAGATTATTGTAAAGGAATTCCCATTCAATATTATGATAAACTATTGAAAATATGCTGTTTGTTGTATGATATCTCTACAAGATGCAAGATATATATATATATATATAACAATATCATTGATGCAGCTGCAATACAGCATCATTTCAAAATAGTCAATAATATAACAATTATTTCCAGATTTTAAAATGGCCTGAAATAATCAACTTAAGCATCTTATAAACTACAGTTATGGTGAAATGAGTTCCACATGTAATATTCACCCTTCTTGGCAAGGATTGGGATGGGGAGATGTTTACATAATTCACTAATAATAGAAAACAGTAGCATTCCGAGGAATGCATTTGACAACTTGTCAAACAAGGAACGACCCCTGTTTTTCACGACCGATAACGGAGTCAGCGCTCGTTTAAAGGCAAATGTGGGTCGTGTCTATTTCATCATGCGACATATGCAGTTATCTCTTACCATGTGCAGGAGAACACTTGGAGGGAGTGTTTGCCCTGAACTAATCCCTGACTTGTTGACTTCTTGTTGTTACATAGCAAATTATATATATATATATCATATCCATATGCTATAATCCAAATATTGAGTGTTTATCCTCAAAAGACATTAGCAGGTAATCTTTTTGCGAAGTTTTGATAGTACAAAGTGTTAGAAGCCTACACACTAACGACTGGTTATGCACGCATGCGGATATAACATAATTGTAAAATATTATACAAAACACACACAAATTAAGAGAAATTAATCAAACTGTGTCGTGCAGCCAGTGACGTCAGTGATGATAAGTGTCTTAAATATTTAAAATCTAGCAGCGGCTGACGAAATCAAAATCAATCGGATTTGATGCATAAAAACAAGAGGATGTACACTTACTTTACAAACAACAATTTGGAACTAGCAGATGAACTCTTCTCTAAATCAATTTCATAATCTTCAATGTTTGATCATTTCAAGGAATGTCAAGTGCATTCATATGTAGCTCAAGATCAATTTGTATATTGCTTTAATTATTGGGCAGAAACAATATTATAAGATAATATTTATCGACGTCTTACATCCTAATATATACCCGCTTGTAAGTATTGAGAAAACGAAAGATACAGAAATGCACAGTGAAACATCTATAAATAGCACGTAATCTAGTCTTCAGAATACACGAGTGTAGTACTGCGATTACAGGTTACAACAGAGGGCACATCCTATGTCACAGTCAACCTACCACAACCGAGTTTGCCTTACCCCACAGTTAACATTCATTTTTGTTCTTACAAGCGAAGCAAACCAGTATGCAGTAGAGACAGCAATTTAACATACGGAAATACACACATTAGTGGGTATTTTGTTCGCTACATAGACAGATATGATATTTTTCTAAATGAAAGTGAAAGTGAATAATAAAAAAACAATCTTATGTAGAATACTAATAATCTATTGTAGATAAGTTCACGGCTTGTCCTGATATCCGGCTTCATTCTCATGCAGTGAACCGGATGTATAACAGTGGGTGGGGGCCATAATAGAGAACCCGTTACACGTCCACATTTAACCTTGTCTCGGTGAAAGATTTATATTAAAAATGTGTATCCGCCATAGATAATCTTCTTCATACTGTTTAAAGCGAGTCAGAATAGATGAAAAAGGACGTAATGTGTCGTTCTGGTTTTTATCTAAATATCATGCAAATGCCAATGTTTTGCATTCCGAGAACTTTGTTTTCATTTACGCAGAATTAAACTATAGTCTATATTACTTCTTGAAAGATTTTGGTTTTGTTCTTAGTATTAGTTGATAAAGTATAACTTCAACGGCACAAACTTAACGTTTGTAACTGATTTGAATGGAACAATAAATAAGTATGACTCTTTGGTAACGGTTTCATTACCCATGTGTAATAATTTATTTTTTTGTTTGTAAGTGTGTGAGGTTTGATAAAAATCCTGATAGAAATGAAGTGTTAGAGCGCTGACAACGAGTTTTTCTAAACATAATAATTTTAAGACAGGATGTTGATGACCTTGACCCAAAAACCATGACATTCAACCTTTTTTCAATATATTTATGTGTTTTACATTTTTTTTTTAAAAAAATATTTTCCATAAAAATAACAATCAATGGCAAGACATAGTATCACAACGCCATCAAAGGAAGTTGACATAATTGTTTTCTTTACGAACATCGGAAACACATGATTAAGGAAAGACGATAACTCCTCTCACCACAAAACTACAAAACCTCTTATGCAATGGAACTACTTGTCCTGTGAAATTTAAATCATACTCGAAACATGATAAGCTTATATAGTTTTGTTTGTTTGCAAGAATTATTCCGGTGTGGAGTCTTGATTTGCCAGGGAAAAGATTTACTAGGAGACAACAACATATGTGTGTTGTCGGGTAGGCGACCTCATACTTTTTCACGTTTAGTCATGATATCCAAAGCGACAAAATATTTACTACGGGGATGTAGCATTGATTAGTATAAGCTGAAATAACTAGTTCCACGCGTGTTGCTACACAAATAAAGTATATATATTTGTTACTGCGGAGTTCGAAAAGCGCGTAAAACAATATAGATAGGATTTTGTTAAGTATCACTGTGTTTATATCTTAAAGGAATGTTCAATACAAATTAGGAATAGGAAACCTTATAACAAGGCCATCTCTTAAACTGCATCATACAGTTGTTTTCCCTATTGGGGAAGCCCAATAAGACGAAATACACATTAAGACATTAAGCGTCGGCTCTTAAGTTCGTTTAAATTGGTATCAGTAGCCTGCTGTCAACATTTCAAGGTCATAGGAATCGTCAACTTCAGAATCATGTTCCTTATCTATGTTTCCTTTTTTGGAAGTTAGAATGAATCAAATACAAAATCATATCGCAAACAATTAAATATTGTGCAAATGACAAGCAAGTTAGTTAGATACAGTAGAGCAAAACAATGAATTAAAACTTCATTACAAAGCTGTTTCGTCCTTACTAGTAGCAAAGGGCCTAAGATTTAAACCCTAGGAGACGACTGAGAAAAATCTAAGTGATCGAATAAAAAGTAAAAATTTAGACAGTGAGGTGCAGAAGAACGACTGACCATGATTATCTACAAGTCGTCTTTATAATCAATAAGCGTAACATTATACCTTAACAACACTTGTAATGGAAGACAATATCGTTGTTACAGGAGTAATGAAATAGAAATAAAATATTTGGGTTTTTATTTCGTGAATACGTTGAAAGTAATAAAAACAATAGTTTCACAACGTTTGTTATGAAGATTTTTTTTGTCAGTTTACCATTTTATTAATTACACTGAAAGCATGTGTAAGTATGCATCATTGCACAGTAATAACATAATATACAAGTCTCATCTGTTGCAACTCTATGTTGTGGCATATCGACGACTGCTTGGATATTTATTGCGGTAATGTGTAAAAAAATCGTTAGATAAGAGGACTTGAACTGGGATTCCGTTGTAGTTGTTCATGCTGCCTTGGCGACGCACACTTCACACTTGTTATAAAGCTGTTATCATATTCCTTGTTGACGGCAGTCATCACACACGTGTCTCATCTAAGGTATGTTTATTAATCATCGTGTTTATTGTGTAAGTAATCGAAAACAATATACATCTTTTTTACATCTCGTGTTTCTAAATATAGGCATAAGTCTTAAGTCATTGTTGCTGTTGATTACCTAATACATGAAAATTACATTATATTTGATAAATGTAGAATTATTATATAACCATTAACATCTTATTGGTTAAAGTATACATACCCTACATATAATTGTGTAAACAAAATAAATTTCTGTACAGGAATATTTTTGTTCTATTGTAGAAAAATATGAAATTGATCTGTCTCGTGTTTATTGCGGTTTTGGGGACCGTCAGTTGTAAGTATAGTGTTGTGTCCGGGACAAAACCCACCACAAAACACAGAACAGATGATTATTGTTTTAATCTAGAGATATGATTTTATCATTGATTCGAGAAATGGCGTAATTTGATACTAATTAATAATTCATAATTGATATGAAAAAGCATGATGATTCAGTATGAACTTAACAACTAAGACGACTGAAGCGAAACACCATTTCAACATATTCAATATGATTTCAAATGCGTCTTAAAGTATCTACATACGTGAATTTATCTATCATACTTCATAACAGGACTTTATAACACCGGCAGAATCAAAGAGATCATGCGCAATTCGAAATTTTAGCGAGTTTTCTTTTATCAAATAATTTTGGGTAATGACCATTTCCGGGATACATTAATTCGTTTGCAATGGTCACTTGACATGGGCCTTTTTCCGACACCTTTCGAATACAATGCGCTAAAACGATTTCGATTCACAGTTAAGACTCGCCTTCCAAAAGGAACTGTTATCTTATCAGAAGAGCAAACACGGTGATCTTTTTTACATAAAGTATGGTCAGCTTAATGTGACAATTACAAGAACAGTACTTCCAAATAGGATAGTTTAAATATGTATCGAACACCCTAAATAATTATAACGAGAACAAAATAAAAAAAAAGACAAATAAGTATAAATATTATACTTATCATTATTTTGTAGAGATATTATTACAAATAACGGTACAGGTGGACAGAGTTTTGACTTGATTTGATGTCTATTGATTCATTATCAGGTCAGTAACTA